AAACAAACAGAAAACTAATATTTAGAATAAAGAAAAGAAGAAAATAAAAATAAAAAGACAAATTCTGATTAGTTCTGATTTTCTGATTTTTATAGCAATTATAGGTATATATGTAAATTAATTTTAAAGTTTATAATATAAATTAAGTTTTCATGGGACTATTTGAGATACAGCAGAATACTATTAGGTTTTCATTGATTTCTACTGCATATAAATTATTCGAGGAATGGAGAACTGCTTGAACGCTATCAGCACTTCATTTAACTATACATTTCAGGTGTTGAAACCTAATGTATTTTGTTATATGAACCTACAACTGTGCACTGCTTGGCTTTTTGCAATATTTATTATGATAACATTCTAAAAATATTGGCTTATATGTATTTTACATGTTTTAGAAAAATTACGTTCTAGTCTTTGACTTACATTGCTCCTGCTGTAAGAAATATACTGCTATTACATTGTGAAGAATACATTATTTCCTAGCCTGCAGTGGAAAGCTTATTAACATTCTTTGTTAAAATATCTACCTAAAACACAAATCATAACCATGTTTACTGGGAAATAAGTCTTAGTTTATACTGTTCAATTCTTCTACATATTTAGTATCATCAGTATCAGCTGCTGCTCCTGAGAGTAGTATCTTGTACTCAAATTTCTTATAGGCATTTATTTGCCACTGTGGATCACATTCGCTTAATCAGCAGGGTTCAGTCTTGAGAAATTAAAAAATAGTCAGTGTAGACCAACTTCAGAATATATTTGATATTGGTGATATGTCTACGATACTGAAGTACACGTGGCATGGGTTTTACTTTTTTACTTTTGCTGAGGACACCTTAATAGGTAACGTTCTTAACTCAGCAGTTGGCAATAAGCAAGGGTTATTGTGGCAAAATTACACTTTTGGTGGAAGAAGCTGGAACAGATACTTGCTACCAATCTAGACAAGAAAGCTAGGAAAAATAAATCTCTTCTGCCTTTCCCATTCCAGTTGCAGGAATGCATAATTACTTAGCTGTATGTGGTGGTCTCCTCCCTCTAAATACTATATGTTATAGTACATATAGTGAGTGAACTGATCTGCATGAATTCTGTTATACAGTTACAGATTTGGATATGAAGAAAGGAAATACAAGTTTTTAAATGCCCCCCTTGCCAAGTGGCCAAGGGGCATTCAATCTTGGTGAGATGGTAAGTAGATTGTAGATGACTTTTATGATGTATTCATCTATTGGCTTAAAATACATTCCACAGGACAGGATATATTCATAAAATATAATAGGACCCCCAAGGAGGAAGGAATTGTTGGAGGAATTTCTATCTTCTAGATAATGTGTGTTTTTTGTTCTTTAAGAGAGTTGTTGATTAGATGAGGCAATTTAATTCAACCTGGTGGAGAATACATTCAACTTCCATAATTAAGAAGCATCCTTCCAAAAACTCAACTGAGTTCAAAGAGGAATTCTAAAAACAAAACAAAACAAAACATATAAATTGTGTATTAGAAATTTATTACTAAATATAGAGGCCTTACTCATTTGTTTGAATAATTAAACCTACTATCTCCTTTACTATATTTATATCTTCTAGATCATTAAAAACACATTCTTGAAGAGTTGCCATTTTCAGCCATTTATTTGTATAAACAATATGTTTAATATAAATCTGAATTATAATATAATGATCTATACTGTAAATCTGAATTACCAGCAATACCTGAAGGTAGTCTATAATTTTTTAAATCAAATGTATCAATTAGATAGAAGTGTGGGCTAATTTATTGAATTAGCACTTCCCTTATTTATTTCATGAAATTACCTCATGCAATAATGAAGTGATTGTGTATAATGAATTAGGCAGAGATGTTTTCTTCAATTGTGCAATTATATGAATTAATCTTGAGGTTTTGCCATTTTTACAAATTAGGCAGATGATCTGCTTGTTTAATGACACAACATAATTCATGAATTAAACAATGCTTTAGCTCTTTCATTACTGTGGCACTGTTTTCCTGAAGTAACAAAATTGTTTGATTAGATTAGTACACTTTAAAAACCCAAGAAGCAATTCAGCAAATACTGGTAAATTCTCCACTTATTTTTGTGGATTTGTGTTCTGGGAGTCCATATTTGCATAATTAAGGGCAGAATCTATAAATTGTATTGAATCAGTATTTTCTCTTTTCCAGTGGGTAACTGTTTTGTCTAAACTGTTTTATTTGATGATACTAAAATAAATCTGCAAAGACTTTGCATACAAAGTTTAAAATAAAATACTCAACTACTTTTAGAAATAACTGTTTTTATAGATTTTGACAACAATACTGTGCATTCTAAATGCTTAAAGAACAGTTATTAAAGCTATACTTTGCTGCTTTTATAAACACTGAAGTCAGCATATAGCATTAAAATCAAATTAAAAATTTAAAAATTGACAGTGAGAGCCATGCAAGTTAAAAACAATGAAAAACAATGCCTTTAAAATAATTTAGCAGTTAAAAGCTAAAAAATATAAGTATTTTTTTACTGTTTTCCTAAACACAGGGAGATTGGAGGCTAAACAATGGGATAGTGAGGAGTGTACTCCTTAGCCTTGGAACAACACGGGTCCTCTCCTGTATAACAGTTAAGCTTCTGGAAGCAGGAGCATGTCCCCAAAACCTGGCAGACTGTCAGCCAAGGTTGTAATGGAAGGAATGTCTGAAGGTAAAGACATGCAACCGATTGAGATACCAAATTTGGAAAATATAGAGGATGATACAGTCAGAGCCTTGCATCTTCTATGAATATATCAGCTTAGTCTGGAGTTGTACCTTGTAGTCTTAAACAGTGCTGTCACCACTGAATAAAAGATAAAACATTTGAAAAATGGTGGATCAAGGCTTAGGAGATGAGCACCTAGGAGTAGAGAATTGCCTTCTGATTAACAAGTGCCAGCTGGGCCCATGAGGGGCCTCCTGCAGGGACTCTGAAAAGGGAAACTTAGGAAGATTTGTTTTACTGTGAACCCCCCAAAATACAATGCGTGTGATGACATCATCATGCAACCATTACATACCTGTATCTTTATCATCATACAACCATTATATATCTGTATCTTGTATGTATGACTGAAAACGTATGTGAGTTACAGCATTTGGGTGATGACACATACATTGCTGTTGTTTATCCTTCCTTGCCCCCCCATATTGATTCCCGTGGTTCAGTCCTTTTGCTTTCTGTGCTGGAATGCCCTGATGTATTCAGTCTTTTGCCTACTTCTGTGGACTATGTTTCTATATTGCTCCATGCATTGTATTGTACTTTATGGGTTGAAAAACTGGATTGAATGCTATCCGCATGTTGTCATATACATACTTTATTCCTGAAAGACATAACATAGACATGAAGGAATGAACTCTGTAATCTCAGCATGGCTATTAAAGTCCCCCAGTAAGAAGTCTGGGATCTTCCATTGCAACACCAAAGATCACCCTGGCCAACTCAGGAACAGACTGTTGTGCAGTGCAATAGGGCACCAAGAGAATCACACATTGTTCTGATCACCGTGATGAATTAGTAAAGACTAAAAAGTGGCAGATACTTAGAAGTTTCTAGTCAATGAAATGCAATGCCTGCATCCCATATCACTTTCCATCTCTGTAGCCCTCCACTGATGAACAGATAATGGAATCACTGCAGAGTGGCTTCAGCTGGGCCAAACCTCTGCAGTGCTAGCTCTGTAAGAAGATCAGCAGAGCAGTTGTTACCTCCACAGCTTTACTCCAAATGAATGCTGGTGTTAAGCAGGCTCAGGGCAATGTTCCTTTTACAGCCAGGGAGCAGGTAATGGACTCTATGCAGAGTATCATCAATCCTGGTCCTTCAGAGAGAATTAGAAGAACAGTTCTTACCTTCATTACTTCTTTTGATATGGTTGGTGAGCAGTTTTCCATATCTACCAAAAGGTGGATTCTCATAATGATCATTGACAGTAGAATTACAGTGCCCTCCCCATTGATGAAAAGATGGACTATCAGTTCAATATTGTGTGGAAGCAGCTGTATTTGCAAAGGATGAATAAAAACAGAAGTCAATTTTATTTTATCGAAGTTTTGATTGCTAGAGAGCAACTAATGATGTAAAGAACTAATTTAGACAAAGTGTCAAAACAGTACTATTACTTTAGGAAACTGCCAATTAATACAGTGATATTACACTAATTATGAAATATTTTAGAAATACATTACAGTTCCCAGAATTATAGAAGGAGGCATCCCTTTGTATAGCACATTACAGTAATCCAAATTAGTAGTGATAAGGGTGTGAGTTACAATTGCAAAGTCCTCATGCTTCAGGTAGGTCTGCAGCTGGTGCAATCTGCAGAAGAGATTCTATTCTGTTTGTCTCTGTCTCTGTCTCTCTGTTGTAAATTATACTGATAGAGAAATGTCCCTGATGGTTTCCAAGTTCTGAAGATTCTGTTGGAAAGAAGTTCATTCTATTTTTTTCCCTTCATGTACTGATGATAATTTATTATTTTCAGGGGTATTATAATATATAATAAATATGTATGCAGGTCATTTAACTTATTTTACACCTTTAATCTGTGGCTGCAAGTTTTTATTATGAATTGTATGTACTGATGTCTGCTCGTCAATGACTAAGCATTAAGTTTTCCTTGTAAAACATTTTCCCCAGTGGCATCATTTCCCTGCTTTGAAGACTAGAAAGATCCTTTGGTGCAAAATAAACTTGAATATAAGTTCACTGACATTACACTGGGTGGTGTCAATGCCTTTATTATCATGCCGCCAGCCACTTTATCACACGTTTATGCAACTGAGAAATATTTGCAAGTGGGAAAAGATAGGAGATGCTTTTATTTCAGTTCAAACAGAGTTTTATATGAAGTGTGCTTTTAAACTTCATTCAGATTGTAATATTTTTGTATGTACTTTACGAGGAAAATAGCTTTTAAAATAACTTTTCAAGCTAACTTTTTTTTTTTTTTGGTAGGTTAACTGAATCTTCTGGATATTTAACGGATGGGCCAATAAATTATAAATACAAAACTAAATGTACATGGTTAATTGAAGGATAGTAAGTATATATTTTGAATTAATGTTGTTTCTAAATTGTAGCTATTAAGAGATATCTTACAAAATTTTAAGCAAAAAATATTGTGAGTCTGCTATGACTGGCTGTAAAGATTGTACCATCTTTTGGTGATTTCCTAAAGAACTCTTGATGCGCCAGTTATATTTCAGAAAAAGATTGGGACATTTACTGTTGAGAGTTCAATGTTCAATTTAAAATTTAATTTACTGTTGAAATGCAGGCAAGGAATGTATGACTAATTCCACTTCCACATTTCAGTAGGGTTATGATATTGTGGCTGTCAATGGCCACATCCTGCCCACTAACTTTGAGCTTATCTGGCTGCGCAAATGGAGCTATAAAGCCACCTGCCATGGAAAATGTCCAGCAGTGCCTGACACTGTGAGTTATTTTTTGACTAGCTGCTGTTGCCACATAAGCTCATGGGCTGGTGGTTGCTTTGTCCTGATAATTGCCCAAAGATGTCTAAGATATGTTTTGTTCATACCTTTGTTTTTATAATAATCGATATGGCAGTTCCAAATGACAGATATTGGCTTTATTGCTTGTAAGGCAGATATATTTTGAAACTGGTATTCTTAAAGATGAAAATAATGCTAGTTTGAACAAGTGGATTATTGCTTTTTGATACTTTTCAGGTGTTATTTGAATAGCCAATGAATTGAGCTAAAGTGTTTTATATAGCAGCCTGTTCTCATCTTGGGTACTTTTAAACCCATGGTTTAGTATCCAGGTTTGGCAGCAGCACTTAAGCTACTGTACATTTTCTAAGTTTAAGCATCATGGCAAATGTGTTGTGATAAAGTATAGTTTGCTGCACAAGGTGAAGAAAAGAGTGTAAGGGTGAGAAGGGAGCATGTAGGCACAGAGGCTACAGGCTGATATTGCTGTGTCTGAACCAGCAAGTACATTTTAGTTCCACAAGTTTCAGCATATTGACTGGATTTTCTCAGATGCAGGTGAAATACGTGTCTAAAATTTAGGTAATAGTTGCATATATACTGTATAATACACTTTAAAAAACACGTATAATCACAAAATTGACAGTGGCATTTGCATACACGTCTTGCCTTTAATACTATACTGACATGCTCATGTGTATATTTCATTATAAAATGTGCTATTTCTGAATGCTATTTCTTGCTTTTCTCTTCTAGCCCTAATTCAGTTTTAAGATTAAGATTTAATCATTTTGCAACAGAATGTAGTTGGGACCATATGTATGTTTATGATGGAGATTCAATATATGCACCTTTAATAGCTGTATTTAGGTGAGTATTTCAGCTTAATGATTTTTATTAAAGTGTTATAAAAATGTGCATTAAATAGAAGTTTAGTATTAACAAGGTTAGGCTGGCTTTCAGTATGTAATTCCTCCTACTTTTCTGTTGCCTTTTTAAAGATCCTTCTTTGACCCTTTTCCGCATGCTCTACTTTGAACCAATTTTTAGTGAACCCATCGTTTTAAAGTTTTACAATGCCTGATTTTCTTGCATGTCATAGAAAGAGAGAGAAAAAGAGAAAGAAAGAAAGAAGTTTTACCATTCTTCCTATCTCTTGTCAGTTTGGTAAAACTGGTAAAAAAAAAAAAAAAGGAGAAGGAGAAGGCTTTACTTATTCACTTGTGAACATATTAAAAAATGGGTAGAGGGAGAGGTTCACTGGCTAAAGACCCTTCAGGCAGACAACCCAGTAGGTCAGGAAAAATTTGCTATGGAGAACAAAAACATGGCTGGAGGAGAAGGGAATTCCTTTCACAGTAAACAATAGGAATAGATGCTTTTGCATACAGTGAAATGAAGTATAGTAGGTGAACCAGACAGCATGGCAAAGTTAGAAAATACCACTTTGTATTTGTAGCAAGAAAAGAAGGTGGTGGTTGCCTTCTCTCTGGAGCAGGTACAGGGGGAGGAAAACATGTTCCTATCCTCAAGAAACATTTAGTGGCAACCTGGTTATACAGATGACGCTTAAGCCAGTCTGCACGAGAGTTAAGTCTATATTATAAACCTGTATCTTTGAAATCAAACATATGTTTAGAAGTTGCTTCTATGCATTGATTTGAATTTTTATTTTTTTTAAAGAAAATATTGCCTTTATGCATTTTAACTGCATTATTTTTATGGCAAGCATTTCTAGAAATGAATTGCAGAGTTCTGTTATTTTAAACTGCTTTGCATGGAAATCAGACATTATTTTTAAAAATCATCTGATTTGTTCAAATCCTGAGGTTTTTACTGTTTATTAGTAATACAAATCTCTTATGTTTAAAATTGTGCAGTGGTCTTATAGTTCCAGAAGTGCGTGGAAATGAAACTGTTCCTGAAGTAGTAACTACATCTGGCTATGCACTGCTACACTTTTTTAGTGATGCTGCTTATAATCTAACAGGATTTAATATTTTTTACTCGTAAGTATTTCTTATCAGTCATGTTCTTGTTAATTAATCAGCAGAGATGTAATTCTGTTAGTAAATAAGACCTGGAGCTTAAAATATTTGAAATAAGCTTATGCAACCTTGATTTTGGCAAGAATATATATAACACACATACATTAGCTTGAAAAATGCTAATGAAGAGGAATTCCATCAAATAGTCAAGAGTTCTTTAAAGAATAATTAATAAGTACTGTCTTTAGTATGTTAGTTATTACAGGTGATCCTCAGTTAACAAAGATAATTGGGACTGGGAATTCCGTCACTAAGTGACCTGATTGTAAAGCACGATACCATGTGACCACACCAATTTACAATGGCAGTTGTGGCAATTTTGGTTGCCATTATTAAGCGAATCCTACACAGTTGTTAGGTGCAACATCACAATGCCATTTGCAACCTCCTGCCAGTTTCCTCACTGACTTTGCTTGACAGAAGCTGGCAATGAAGTTTGCAAATGGTGATCACATGACTGCACAACACTGTGATGTCGTAATTGCGAGCCAGTTGTCAAGGGCCTGAATTGTGATCACATGACTGGGGACGCTGCAATGGCTGCAACTGCAAGAACTGGTCATAAGTCTCCTTGTTCAGCACTGTCATAATTTTGAATGGTCACTGAATGAGTGGTTGCTGAATGAGGACTACCTGTAGATGTTAGTGTGTAAAGTTGGTTATCTCAGAGAAGATAGATTGAAAACAGTGTTATGAACCAGTTAGGTCAGCACAATGTGTTTAAGGGAATATATAGATTTTGAGTGTCTGTGTATCTCTATCTCTGCCTCTGTCTCTATCTGTTCATGTGGATATACACAGTCACACACAGTCATTCGCTCACTTGGCTAGATTGGTTTTTCTAAGTAGGACAACTAGAAACAAATTGCTTAGACTGCAGAACAAACTTGAAGGCCAGGTCTTTATAGAATGGGAGCATGACAGCATTGGTCCATGGACAGCTGACTGATAGTGCAGCTTAAAAAGTAGCACCCTTGTTCCCCAAAGTTCAAAGTTGTAAAAGCAAACTTCAAGTGATACGATGATGAAAAGTTTTAGGACTCTGATTTCTGATACTTTCAGTATATATATTCCCCCATATTCACTTCCCTTGGAATACTTTGCTCCTTTTACCAACTGAAAAATGAGATTGCACCTATTTGGCTCTTAAGATATTAAATGTAATTACTTTAACTTTTGTGTCTTTGATTGATAAACAGTATGTTCTAAAAGGCCAAGTTAGTTACCTTTTCTGTTTGTCTCTCCCAAAACACACATTATGTGAACATTATGTTTTGTAAAGCTAGTATTAAAATAATACAGTGGGAATATTTCAAGTTCTATTAATTGAAAATCAAAGTTGTACGTTGATCCTGCTTGTATTCCGTTTGCTTCAGTGGTATAGAAATGCCAAAATCCTAAAAAAATTGGAAAGATACAGAAAACTGTATTTTCAACTCCTAGTTGTCCTTGGCTTATTCATAGATGTGTTTTAGCCTGTAGTTGGATAATAAAATATTACGGAAGAAGTATAAAAATGCATCCCATGAAATGCTTTTCACTGATTTCTGGTTTTGTTGTTTGGTAGCTGCATTTTACTTTAAGTAGTCTGAAGGCTGCTGTTCATAATGAAGAAATTGCTTACATAAAATAAAAAAAACCACATAAACATATAAATAATGACTATTTCTCTTTTATTACTGTATTGACTCATTTCTTCTGATCTTGTTCATTACAGAATTAATTCATGTCCTAATAACTGCTCAGGGCACGGGAAGTGCACAACTAGTAGCTCAATACCAAGCCAAGTATATTGTGAGTGTGACAAGTATTGGAAAGGAGAAGCCTGTGATATCCCTTATTGTAAAGCTAACTGTGGAAGCCCTGATCATGGCTACTGTGATTTGACAGGAGAGAAACTCTGTGTCTGCAATGATAGTTGGCAAGGTAAGTTGACAACATTTTTGCTAAAAGCTATGCCATGTATTTCATGGTATGTGAAACACAGAGTTTGTCTGTCTGCCTGTCTACAAGACTAAAAATATTAATGAATATACTACAGCTGGTTGTTTGCCTAATTCAACTTCTCTTAACTGAGGGACCCTGCATTATCTGTCAATAATTATCTAACATATGAAGTAATTTTAATTCCAGTGCCTGTGTTCTCATTGTTTCAGTAAACAGTCACATGGCTCTTTAATTTTTATTAAATAATTTCAGAACTTTGTAAGTACCTGGCTTCAAAGCATGGTGTACCTCTATGAACATTCCCTAGCTGTTATATTGAGGATTATACAGGTATTTCTGGTTGACTAATTCTGGGAGAATTTAGTGAATATCCTGGCATTGCAATTGAACTGTACAGCTGGAACAGGCTGTTTAGGCCAATGAGTCTAACCTATTCAGGGTAGGAATCAAAATTTTCATCCCTGACAGATTGAGAGCTCACCACTTCTCTAGGTTATTGGTTCCCCTGTCAATGTGCTCTTTTTGTTAAGAAGTTTTTTCTAAAATTTAGTTGGAATCTGCCTTCCTGTAAGTTAAAATGTGTTATTTCATGTCCTGCACAAAACACGTTTTGACCTCCTTATGCATGATATTTTATCAGATATTTAAATAATGCTGTAATACCCCCCTCAGTCTTCTCAAGACTTAATATTCCCAAATTCTTAAATCTCTATTTTTTTTTCTGGATTTGTTAGCCTGTTCCAGTTTTTCTGAATCCTTCTTAAAATGTGTTCCCTGGAATAGGAGACAGTAATCAAGCTTGGGTCTGAATAAAGTAGACCTATTCACTGATCTGAAGACTATGCTTCTGTTGATGCAACTTAAAATTGCACTTGTCTTTTTGTAGATGTATCACATTGCTGATTTATGTTCAGTTTATAATCAGCTGTTCAGAGATCTTTTTCATAACTACTGTTATCAAGCCAGATATATCCTATCCTTTACTGTGCATTTGGTTCATCTTTCACAAGTGAAGAATTCTGTATTTTTCTCTGATAAATTTTGTTCTGTTATTTCCAGTCCATTTTCCAGTATTAGATGTCCCACCTAGTTTTGATAACCAACCCCTCTACTTCTGCATTCAAATAAAGTATTGGATAATAGGGATTCTTTCCATCAAACCTTGTAGCATCTTTTCATACCTCAGTCCAGTTTGATTATCAATCAGTTATGCATGCATACCTTTTAAGGCAGTGATTTTGCCATTTAATTGTCATAACATCCAGCCAACCTTAGCTAGCTTGTTAATTACAATGTCATGAGATGGTTTGTCAAATGCTTTGCTGCAATCATGCTACTGTGTTCCCATAATCTGGTATGAAAAATTATTCAATTAAAATAAGATTAGTTCAGCAGGGCTTGCTCTTAACCAATTCATGCTGGGTTATCACTAAGTTTTCAAAATGCCTATGTTTTATGATTTGTTCTAGAATCTTCATTGGTCTGTTGATCCCTTGATCATCCTTTTTGATCTTAGAAACAACATTTGCCTTCGTCCAGTCATCTGGCGCTTCATCAGTCTTCTGAGATTTCTGAAATATAAGTTCTCAAATAACATTACTCAATGCTGTTTCAAAAAGGACTCAAATAACACTACTAATGCATAAAAGTTTAGCCACTCCATCAGCAATTCATATGATTCTGGAGATTTAAATTCATTCAGAGTGAATAGTTATTCTCTTACCTTGTTTCTGTCAGTCTCAAATTTCAATCCTGTCACTTCATGCTTCTCTTCCCAGTGTAACAAATACAGTGGTACCTCGGGATACGAATTTAATCCGTTCCGTGACTCTGGTTGCAACTCGAGTTGGTCTCAAGCTGAGGTAAAGTTTCCCATAAGGTTCAATGTAAATCCGGTTAATCTGTTCCGCCCTCCGCCCGAATTTGGTTGCAACCCGAGGCAATTTTCTCTTCAGAGCCTTACTCCCG